ACTAAAATAAACCAAAAATTAATTTCTGTAGTTTTTCCCAGAGTTATTTTAAAAATTATGAAACCTAGATAAATAGAGACGTAGTCAGACCTATAAGCATATGATAATAAGCTGATTAAGAGACCTATTTATACACGTATCATTTGTTGGCCTAACTGTTAACTATTGTTATATTTAATGATAACAAAACATGTCAATTCATTTGTGTTTTTTCATTTAAAATTACAGCTGTAAGCAACGCCGTAATTTAGAAATAAATGCTTGTGGCACTTAACATTAGCATTTCTGTTCATTTACCAAACGAACTCTCATTAAGATCTGTACCTGCAGGGCTTATAAGACTAGGAGCAGGAGCAATAGCAGTAGCAGCAGTAGCAGGAGCAGGAGCAGTAGCAGTAGCTGGTGTCTTGCTGGACTCACTTCACTTCATATTGCGCCTTATAAATTGCAATTACATGACGCTCATTATGGCATTTAATTTATGTTAATGGACGAATCGTGCATGGGATTTTTATATGTACTCCCGACTCAACAATGGGCACTAAATGCAATACCAGAAACAGCAGCAACAACAACAACAACAGCAACGACAACTGCACTGCAATTTACGTATACAAATTATGTGCATGGAACTAGGGAGTAGATTTTTGTTGCTGTTGCTGTTGTTGTTGTTGTTGTTTTTTGTTGTTGCCTTTTCAAGTACCTGGCTCTTGGCATCCGCAATTAGTGGCACGTTTTATTGTTGCCAGGGCAGCAAAAGTTCAGTGCCTGTCCCTGGAGTGGCCAAAGGTAGTCACGAAGCATTATAAATAAAATAATATCTCAGCTAGGTGTAAAATTTTGCATTTAGTTATTTATAGCCTGGAAATTTTGTTGTGCCGCATAATTGCCATCTAAAGCGCATAAATTTGAAAGCGACTTTTTCGTTGAATATTTTAATGTCATTAGCTCGCTCCGAGAGCCCTAAAAACATGTTTCAATCCACAAACACACACACACGAACACACAGTCGCACACATTTGATATACAATATATGTATGTATAGGTTTTTGGCTAATGCTCTTACACAAATTACTTTGCCATTTCAGAATATATCACTCCTAATTGTGCTGATCTATTCCTGGCGCATCAATGTTAACATGCACAAATCTGCCGAGCTCCAGGATGTCTACTATGGTAAGCATGAGCCTTATTCGCTTAAGCAATTAAGAGAGAG